CACTCACTGGTGTGAGCGGGAGAGGCTAGCCTAGAATCCAGGAAGGTGATATACACCCATGCGAAGAAATGGCAGAAGCTTGTGTGACCTCCAGGGATATTTGATATTGCCTTTGATATTTCCCTGCAGTCATAGCCAGAGCCTTGAAGTATGACAGAGGGCAACCTGCACAGCATCTCGGAATCATGAGTGCAGTCCAGAATCTTAACATTCATTTTTAAGGACCCAGGTGACTACCGAACAGTCTTTAACACCTGGCTTTGCTTTTCAGCAACTAGCCATATCTACAATTCTGCTAAAACAGATAAGAATATTGCTGACAACATGAAACACACAGCCTGCCCTTTGGTGCCCGCCATTGTAGAACTCAAATGAGCTAAGCTGACTCCTGGAGAGGACCCTTTGGGCTTGGCCACGTTGAAGGCAATGGCTGAGAGCCCTAGCTTGCCAAAATCGTAGCTTACCATGTCTCTTCATCCAGCTTGGAATCTCAGGTGTGAGGCACAGATGACAGAAGCATCAGCCACTCTCTCTGCCATGAGAAGAACCAGCCAGCAGGCCAGCTTGATCGCAGCTGGCCACCGGCCCTGAGCCCACGATGCCTGTTGAGAAGAAAGAGGAGAGGCTGCGCTTACTAATGGATCCTGCCTCTCCTTGGTGTAATGTCTACTTTCTCTTGCCTCTGAGGTTTGCAAACTAGACATTTTCAGAACTAAACCAGCTATTTTAGTTGCTTTTCTCATTGCTGAGATAAAATACCTGGTACCCAAAGTTAGAAAAGGAAAGTTTATCTGACTCACAGTTTGTGAAGATTTCAGTTCATCCTTGGCTGGATCCAAGGCTGGTGGCATACAGAGAGATATTGCAAAGGAGAAACAGTTCATGGCAGGCAGAAGTCAGCAAGCAACAAGCAAGGACCCTTTCTGTCTCTTACAGTTTAACCAGACACCCTTAATCCTACCCAGAACTATGCCAGACCAGTGAGTGGACTAATTTAGTAATCACACACCCTTGATCCCAGCAGCACAACTCCAGATACAGCTGCCTCTAAAAAGCCACATGACCACATGAGGCTTTGAAGGGAATATCTAGGCATAAACCATATCACCAAGCTAACCAGGAATGGCTGACAAAAAAAAAATCACAGTCATGGGGTGAGATGAGAGATGCTGGTCTGTGTAGGTGGCCATTGGAAAGGAGAGGTGTGGGGCTCTCTGAGGTCTGAGGCACAGAAAGGAAGAGAGAGCCTAATTGTCCTGTGTCCCTCTACTGCCACCCCTGCCACTGAGGACCTGAGGCAAGTCTCTACACCAGGAACACCACCGCAGCACTCGCCCAGATCTCAGCCATTGGCTGTGTAGTGTTTTCCAGCTCCTCTGCCTTTGTGGTGGACACTGATGCAGTTACATCCCTTGGCAGCCTTCTCTGTGGCAGTTGCAGTGTTTCTCCGGTCCCCTGTCACGGCCGGTTGGTGGCGCGTCCACTCGAAGTTTTTCAGTTACTATGGCTTCTTCCAGGCTGGAATGACCCTGACAACAGTTCAGTCTGTTAGGATTCATATCGCTGCATCCCAGAGCCCCTCGCTGGGGAGAAGCGCAGATAGGAAAAGGCCCACAACTGCATACCGTATTTCACCTCTGATTCCTTCCCAGTCCCAGAAGCTGGGCCTGATCAGCCCCACATGACGGCTTCGCTGCTCACACCTCTTACCCTGAATCTCTTGGTGATTCCCAAAGACACGTGGGATTAACTGCCGTCATCTGCCCCGTGCTGATTCTTCCTCCTGTGGAACTTTTCTGTAAAAAGAATCCGACTCTTCTCGGTATCTTAGAAAGACTTGAGGCTGGTAGAGTGCCGGATTCACCTCTTGAGACACCGCACAGTATCCTTCCACCATTGTGTCCCCCGATGGGGAAGCCGGAGAAGAGCTGTGACCATCACGTTGTGCGTTCATCAGATGCCCACGGAGAGGTGCTGGGCAGGGTTTCAGCTTTTTCCGTCTACTTTCTTCAGCGCGACAGCAGGTCATGGTAGACGGTCTGCTTTGAAGTTAGATTTGGTTTTGAGCTACAGATTTGTGGTCACAGTTTGTGGCTTTACCACTTGCTACCATCAACCTCAGTCAGATGAAGTCTCTTCATTTGCAAAATGAAGACAGTGATGGTACCAGCCTTTTGGAGAAGCTCTGAAAGTTAGCAGGTATTGCAGATCAAGTGTGGAACTCCAGCCCTATTCGCAGTGCCTGTGCCCAGTACTGGATGTGGGTACACACACCCATGCACACATGCTTCGCTGGTGTGAATGTGCACGCGTGTTCCTTTGAGAACAGCAGTTCAGGCGTTGCTGGGTTTCTACAAATAGTCCTTCCATGTGCTTTCCCCCGATAACATTAATAGTACATGTACACTAAGTGAATTTTCTTTAAAAAAAAAAAGTAAAAACACAGTAATACAAAAAACGAGTTGATTATTGCCACCAATTTTCATGTACTATATATAAACTTTTAAATTTGTATATAAACTTTTAAAAAAATTTTTACACGGTATTACAGTACTGACATCTGGGTTATTTCTACTTATGTACTATGGTAGACTCTGCTTTGGTCTCTTTGTGGCACAATTGTTACATGCATACCTCAGTTTTTAAAACAAGTTCCTAAAGGGAAATGGTGTCGGTGGTGGATTGACAACTGGGGGTCAACTTGTAACATCCAGCTAAACTGAGCAAGTGTGGTGCTGTGTGTGCGAGGCCCACCTGAGGACTGTTGCCAGCAGCATAAGGGGCAGAACTGGAGGAGAAGAAGGAAGGCTGTTGGGAGCCTGTTGGAAGCGGAGAGAAGCTGTAGGGAGCTGTTGGTTCTCTTGGAGGAGCTTGTCATGCTGGCTTTCCTGATGAATTTGGCTGTTTTCATCCTCCAAGGAGCTCGGGACCTTGTTGTTGCTAAGAGTGGCTTCAGCTCACTTTGGAGGAGCTCTGGTCCTCACTCTCAGCATTGCTTCCTGGCACCAGAGGGGAAGATGGTGCCGTGCTCAGTATCCTGGAAAAGCTTGTCACATTGGCTTTCCTGGTGGAACTCGGCTTTCCTCATCATCGGAGGAGCTCGGGACCTCACTGTTGCTGAGCACGGCTGTGGTACCTTTCAGTGGATCTCTGATTCTTAGTTTGACTGTCGCTTCCTGGCTCCAGTGCAGATCCCTCAGCCTCCTAGCACAGACCCTTCCTCCCGCTGGCACAGACTTTCTAGCTTCCGCCATTGACCTTTGGGCCTTCCCAGCACAGATCCATGAAACAGGTCTGCATGAGACATTGGCATGGGCTCTAGGCCTCCAGTTGGACTTGTGGGAGGCACCGTGGTGAGCTGTAGGTCTTCAGCTGGACTCATGCAGGACATTATCGCAGGACCCAGGCCCTCAGCTGGATTCTTTGGTCTCTAATGTGTGGACAGATTTCCTGCATTCTCTTGTATATGATTCTTTGGGTGACTATTATAAGTAATCTTATAAAATATGTGTCCTGTATTGTATTGTTCCCTTGCAGATACCCTCCAGACCACAACAGTGTCAAATACAAGAATGTTTTTAAGGCTTTGGGTAGTTATTGACGCATAGAGCTTTTGCCATTGTAAACTTCCACCAGTAATCATCTGCCTTCATATCTTCCTTGATTTTGAGAATTTTCTTTAAATTCTGCTATTTGACATAAATGAAATTTTATTTATGTTTAGTTTATATTTTAAAAACATTTTCTATATGTATTCTTCAGCAGTTATTTCTGTTGACTTACAATTTATTATTTTTATGTTGACCTATGTTGATTTATCAGTTACATGTAATATACATAGTTTTTGTTTTTTGAGGGGTTTTTTTGGTCTTTTTGAGACAGGGTCTCGCTACACAGTTCAGGCTGGCCTTGAGCTCACTTTGTAGCCCAGGTTGGTCTCGAACCCACAACGATCCTCCTGCCTCAGCCTCCCAAGTGCTGGGATTATAGGTGTGCACCACCACACCCAGCCTACATAGCTTTTTAGTATTACTTTTTTTCTAAATATTTCTACTCCAATCATTTGCTTTTTAATTTTTCTTATAATGAGATGTCTTTCATTTTCTTCTCTCTCTCTCTGTCCTTTTTTCCCTCTCTGTCTGTAACTGTGTGTCCCCATCTCTGTCACTTTTTTTCCTTAAGATGTATAGGAGTACGTTTATTTTGATTTAAAGCTATAATCTCTCCCTCTGTAACTTGTTGTGCTAGAAAGTGACTTCTCACCGAGAATCACGAGAACACCATGCACCTGTATATTCCTCCTAAGTTGTTACTTTACCATGAATTGTTTTTGGTATGAGTATGGAGTAGGGACCCATTATTTCAGTAGGCATTATTACATCAAGAAAACTATTTTAAGAACCACGAGGTGTACAAAACTATAAAAAATGAAGAATCCAAATGGAAATATATTTTAGATGTGCTTTAAAGAAGCGATCACTGTGTCTCCTAAGATCATAATTGGCAATTTTAGCTCATTTTAAATTTTTTTAATTCCAGATTCACCCTCTTTAGTTACCGACTCAGCCGGGGTGATGATAGAGTATTTGGAATCCACTTCAAGTCTTTCCCTCTGCATACCTTTCCCGTTCTGCCCCGCCCCCTTCAATTGAACTTTATTTTATTAGTGCATGTTTGCAGTACACGCATTTTGCAGTCATGGTGGGCAGTTGGTAAATGCACTAAATACTGTTCTGTCCCTTCTTTCTGACATGATCTGTTTTGGGCGCAACCTATGCTGCTGAGCAGCGTCTTTCCAGGAAGTAGGACTTTGTCGACTTTGGTGTGTCTGATTTATCTCCCATCCTTTAATTCAGTGAGTTGTTCACTGTCCCTCCAACCCTTGGCTTTCAAGTCCTCCTGCTTTGAAACACATGTATGGAGAGTGACTTCAGGTAAAAGATGTCACACTGTGTTGTGTCCAGAGATAAGGCCCTAATGTGTGGTCTCTCCTGTTTCAGGAAAAGATGAAAGGCAAGAACAAGCTGGTGCCCCGCCTGCTGGGGGTCACCAAGGACTCAGTGATGCGTGTGGATGAGAAGACCAAGGAGGTGCTGCAGGAGTGGCCGCTCACCACGGTCAAGCGCTGGGCGGCCTCACCCAAGAGCTTCACGCTGGTAGGGTCGTGGGCGAGGAGGTTATGGCGTGGCCTTGGGTGACTTTGGGATCAGGAGAGAGACCAGATCCTAGCCCACTGGGTGTCTCTGGCCATGGAGAGCCAGTGTGGTAAGGGAAGGGTGGTGCTGGCCCCTAGACTGCAATGTGCTGGTCCAGAAGGTACAAGTAGACTAGGTTTCTTGGCCACTGTTTTCCTTCTAGAGCTCTCCCTTGATCTTCTAATTGTTAACTGGAAAAGAGAAAAGACTGCTCACCAGGACGATCTCTGTTGTGCCTTCGCTAACATATCCCTAGCACATCCTGAAAGGAACTCAGTCAATGCTGGCAGACCCACTCACAGACATTCCTAAGAACTGTGATGTGCTCGGGAATGTCTTCCCACCCTGCCTAGAAAAAGCACAGAGTATACAGTAGAAACAACACGGATCTGGAGTAATATCAAGGCTCCAGTATGTCATTTGTCAGCTCTACAACTTTGTTCAAGTTATCTCTCTTGTACGAGCCGTCATTTCCTCAGCTTTGAAGTCGAGCTAGTGATAACCTACTTCTTCTTGTGTCCTGCATTAAATGAGATGATGATAATAAAGACACTTTATTTAAAAGTGATGGGAAGTAGGGAGAAGATGTTCGTGCAGTGCCTACAGACCTCTGAATTCCTTCCCCCAACTTCAGTATTTGCTGCCAGTGGAGTATAATCCTGTGGCCTTCTAGGGCAACATTTACTTGAGAAACAAGATGGCAGGTGTTTTTTATGGCAAGTTGAAGAGTAAGAAAAATCAAAAAAGCACTCAAACTTGTCAATTTTTTCAGAACCCCTGAAGTCTTTGGGGGAACACTTGACATAACAGTTTGCATCTAGATAAGATCTCATAATAAGGTTTTTCTGATGTGAGAAGGAGGAATTTGCAAAGAGTAATTAGTTATGTAATTTGATCATAAATTGGTAGGCTCATGTGAGGGGGAAAGAATCATTAGAAACTGCACATCTTCCTTACCATAGGCAGTAACAGCTGTACCTGCACGACCCTTAAAAATCTAGGAAATCTGGATTACTTCTAAAATAAATGAGCCAAAAAAGAAATCTAATGTAAAATAAATAAGCCAATGTGAAATTGTTGTTTAGAAATGCTAGAAGAAATGGCGTAAGGCCTTGATAGCTTAACTTCAGGGAGGGAGGTGGCAGGTAAAGGTGTGCATGAGAACATAGACAATTTCTTGCTTTCTTATAAAAAATGTTTTCAAGAAAAAATTACGCTTTATATAAAGCTGTACTAATGTTTGTAATTTGCAGTGTTTCTTTCCTTCCTCCTCTTGCTTCTTATTTAATTTCCAAGTGTTTAAAGAGTTTTCTGTGGTCTCCTTCTATTACTGATTTCTGCTTTGATTCTATCATCGTCAATTGTAGGGGAGATTTCCCTGTTGCCTTTCTGGTATTGATTTTTAGTTTGATGCCATTGTAGTCCGGCAGCATACTCAGTATGATCTCAATTTCTCCTTTAATGTGAAGGTTTTGTTTTAGTTCATCCTCAGTGGATGTTCTTTGAGAGCTAGGAAAAATGCACATTATACTGCTCGTTCAGTGTGTTATGTAAATGCCAATTAGATCTCAGCTTGTTGGTGTGTTCTACCATGCCTTATATTTGCTAATTGTCTGACTAGCAATTCTGTCATTTTTCTGAGAATGAAGTTCTCAACCGTAATTGTGGATTTTTCTGTTTCTTCCTCTAGCTGTATCAGTTTTTGTTTCATATATTTTGAAACCCTGTTGTCTGATGCCTATTTGTTTACAATTTCTGTATCTTCTTAATGGAGACATTGTTTTATCCTTATGTGATATTTTGTTTTAGTAACATTTTCTTCGATACCTACTTCATATGTCATTAATTATACCCATTTATGTTTGAAGCTAGGGATGTAGCTCAGCGTTAGCAGCTCTTGCCTAGCACATACAAGGCTCTGGGTTTGACCCCCTGTCCTGGGAAAAACATTACTGTTCGTATAATGCATCTTCTTCAGTCCTTTTATTTTCAGTCTACATAAACTCTTCTACTTGAAATGACTTTCATTTATTTTTATTATTATTATTTTAAAGAGTAAAAGAAGGATAACATAGTAATAGGGGGGCTTACCAAATTACAGACAAAGTGGTAGGAAATTATCAATGGTTGTTTTACATAATGTTATCTACAAGATAGTTTCTCAGGAAAACAAATAGACAAATAATAGTGAGTTACAGACAAAAGTGGTAGGAGATTATCAGTGGTTGTTGTAGTATACTTTGGTATCTTCAAAGTGGCTTCTAAAGAAAATAAATAGAGCTATACATGAGTGACAAATTGAATAATCATTGACTATTCTCAATGGTTGTTGTAGGAAACACATAATAATAAACATACATCCATTTACAAAATAGCATTGGTGAAATGACTTTCTTGCAGAGAACATAATTAGTTGAGTTGTGGGTTTTTTCTTTAACTCCTTCTGTCATTATCTTTTGATTTGTATATGTAGATTATTGACATTTAAACTAATTATTGACATTGGGGGGTAAGTCTCATAACTGTTTTTCTTCTGTTTTTTTCTCTTTTTGACTTCCTGTTGGTTATTTCATCATTTTTAAGAGTTGCATTTGATCTCTTTGTTTTTGGTTTATCACTTTACATAATGTTCTTAGTGATTGTTCTAGATATTAACGTGTGTACTTTGAAACTAACTATAGCCTACTGGGGTGCTGGATTCCTACCCCTTTGAGTGAAGTATAAACAGCTTATTTCCAAATAAGTCTTTTTACCCTTCCTAACTTTTGAATATAATTGTTTAAGTATTTCCTTTGTGCATATTAAACACATGAGATGGTGTTATAATTTTTCCTTCAAACATGAAATATGATTAAAGAACCTCATGAAGGAAGGATAGTCTGTTATATTTACATCTTTTTAAAAATTAGTACATGTTTACAGTATATAATGCATACGTTCACTGTGCGTGGCTGGTGTATGTTCGTGATATGTCTTAATTACTTTAAATCTCCTTCTCCTCCTCCTCCTCCTCCCCAACCCCACCCCCAGCATTTCTCAGTCCCCTTCCCATTTGCAAAATGTCTATCTCCCCACTTCCCTGTTGTCTATCTTTATTTTGCACTTTGGTTTCTCATGTAACCAGAACCATACACTATTTAAACTTGTCTGTCTGAATTATTTCACATAAAATTATGGATTCAGGGTGCATCCATTTTCCTATAAGTGATTCAAATTAATCCTTCTTTATAAGAAAGTAGTATGCCATTGGAGATAAATACTGTACCACATTTTTTTTATCCGTCTATCTGTTGATAGGCATATAAGCCTCATGGATAATTTAGCTATTATGAATTGTGCTGTCATAAATAAGGATACACATGTATCAGCGTCATATGTTGTATTTAACTTTTGGGAGGAAGAAAAAACAACTTTGGGGAAGATAACTACGAGAATATCTAGGTATCTTGCTTACTTTTCTCTTGTTGCTGGGACAAAATACCTAAAACCCAGAATTAAGGAAGGAAAGGTTTATTTAGCTCACAGTTTGCAGAGGTCTCAGTCTGTAATCAGCTGGCTCCAAGGCAGGGTGGCAGGGCCCAGGGGCAGCACTTCAAGGTGACACAAGACAGCAAAAGCAGCAAGAGCAAAAAGTGGGGGGAAGCAAGCCTCTTTTCTCTCCTTATAGATTGTATTGCTGCCATCTGTCCATGCCCACACTCCATCTCCTTGCCCTCCTCTTCCACAAGCTGAGGATGTTTACAAAGTAAGGACCCTGGCCCCCTGCTGAATCATTTCGTTGAACTTTTAAACTTCTGGAGGGGACACAATGAACAACATCCTACAGCAGCAAGGGCATGTCCTTTTCACCCTGGGATGTAGAACTGCTGAGTTACTTAGTGAAGCTTTCAGACTCCTCAAGTTGATACAATGTGTCAACCATAACCCTAGGTCAAATGGAATTTCTTATTTTAGTTTTTTGAGGACTGTCCATGATGATTTCCATATTGGTTGTATTTGTTTACATTATCAACAGTGTAAAATGGTTCTTTCTTCCTTGTAACCCTGCTGGCATTTGTTATTATTTGATCTCTCAATAAAGTGGAATCTCAATGTTGTTTTAATTTGCATTTGTCTAACGATCAGAGATGCTGAATATATTTTTCACGTACTTATGTGCCATTTATATGGCTTCTGAGTAGTGTCTGTTCATTTCAATTGCCCATTTCTTGATTGTTTTTTTTTTTTTT